ATCCGCTGGTCGGAGTATGCCTGCCCCCTGAAATCCGCCCGGTAGATTATCTGAGATTAACAGGATACATGGTAGGCGCTCTCTTCATTCGAGGACACAGTGCTGGCTCGTACGCAGGGATGGTATGGGAAACCATCCTCTCGGAATTCCCAGACATTGAAGGCAAAGCCGTACTAGCAGCCATTGCTCTGCCACCATCGCTGCTTACGACACACAGCATGTCTCAGCATCGACAGATCCACCTCATTCACCATACAGATGACAAGCTTTGCGTATGGAACCCGTCAAACTATGACATTAAACTGCTCAGGCAACGGGGCTTTGCAATCACGCATGTCACAGGATGGAGAGCATACCTAGGCACTGCACAACACAACTACTCGCACTGGACACGAGTTGCTCTCGCAGAGGGACGACCTGATATGGCGCAGCTGGAAGGCATCCCAGGCGTGCTCCCATTCGAAGTGTACTCACAGGCCCCCCTCCGCCTGATCTCATGGTGTAGCTTCGAGCTCCCAAAAACTGCCAAAAAACTCCTGCGCGAATTAGCTGAAATGTGCGAGCTCCCTGAGACAACGACACAGGCACTTGTCACCCACATTGCTGTTCATAACCCAGAGGTAAAAACGGAGCAAGAGGCAACCCAATACTTAGCCACATTGGCAACTGTCACCATCTCGTCAAGGACCAAGTTGCTCAACTATACCACCATGGTTCAACATTTCCTTGGCACCTTGCAATTGCCCATGGCCGTCTACATGTTAGACTATTATTTGCCCATGCTCAGCCCCAACGAAGGCTATAATGAAACAGGGTTAACAATGCAGAGTGCAGGACCCATCCGTCAACCTTGGCAACCCATTACCTTCGAATTCCTCTTTAAAGGCAGCGAATTTGGACACTGGAAAGTCAAAGGCGGACAAGATGCATTTGCGTTCCGACATCCAAGCCTTGGCAAAACTGAAGTGTACAGCCTCCTAGCCAGCGATGCGCACCATCACAAAGTTAGCCCCATTGGCACGGGTAGGCTAGTTGCCATGGTAGGCACGACAGAAGAACCAGCCGATGACGATGGAGACCTTCAAGATACTATTTGGGTTAGTTCTCGCCATCACGCCACGCACATCCAAAAGCAAAGATGAGCTGCCTGCCTCCCGCATATACAGACAGTGCAACCCCAGATTCATCGAAATAGCCTTTCTCTCAGGGCCAGCCATTGAATTTTTTGCACAAGAACAGTTAGAAGCCCTTCAAGACTGGTATGAGGCCTCCGGCCAGCTCCTGGATCCCATTGATGCTACCGTCCAAGGGCAGAAAAGCCCGGTCCCAGGGACCTTCTTCCTACACACAATGTGGATGTTCGGATGTACCAAGCCTACCAGAGAGGTTACCGCTGTCGCACAAACCCCCCCGTGCAGATACCACCTGGGATTAGGCATCTATAATGTCCAAACGGCAGTGGAAGGAATGGATGGCAACAAAAGATCACATTTTTTGCATTTGTGCGGCCAGTTGCTACGCCTAGTGCTCATCCCATGTCATGTAGAGGGCGAGCTTCACCCCTGGACCCGCTCCACTGCACTATCCTTTGCCGCAGAGCTCGATGGGCATGTCTTGGGCACACTCTGCGCAGTGACAATGGCGTTGCTTACCAATCGGTTAGACCTGTGTATCCAAGGGCTTTTCGGAGCAGGCAAGTCGAAATCGATGGCAATCCTCATCCTAGCTTTGATTGAAATCGATGCCACTGACAGCCTCAAAATACTATTCATCTGTAAAGAGAACTCCGGCACGAGATCCTTTGCTGACCTCCTCCTATGGCTCGACCCCCCGTCGGGGGTGTTTGGGCGCATAGGTAGGCTAGTGGGAGACCAAGAACGCAATAAAAGTAGCTACTCCCACACGAAATTCGACATACACCCGAGAGAAAGAAGGCAAATGCTGAATAAGTGTCAGTTAATTCTAGCCACCGGAGGAACGGTAGCCCAGGATCTGACCATGCAATGGTCCACAATGGGTGGCTTTATGCAAGAGCTCTCCCTCCTAGTCATTGATGAAGGCCAGCAATATGGCACTGACCGAGAAATTGCAGTCATCAGCCTACTGAGACAGCAACCACTGGTCTTGTGGACAGGAGACTCTGAGCAGACACCCGGCGGCATTGATCGTGCAGCTCGCAACGCGAAACGATCACGACAGCTCCTGTTGGCCAAGAAGCATGGGCTACGAAGTGACCGCAATTATTATATGCCAGCCAACCTTGCTGATGCAATGATCCGACTACTAGATGGTTCGGCCAATGAAGGTTTGGCGGCTCTCAGTCAAATCCTCAAACGAGGACAGCCCACTCTAGGTCAGCTATGGACAAGTCACCTCTCGCCGCAGGATGCAGAAGACCTTAGTGCAGCCAGCACTGTTCTCCCAGGCCTAAGAGCCCAATTTGAAGCAGCCCAGCCCAATATGCAACGGTACTCCCGTTTTGTGGATTCAGAACTGCTGGCAGGCACCGCTATTAACTTTCCACGGTCACTCGTACGCCTCGCCTGGATCTTGCAGCATGCCGCTACTCTCCTACCCATGGCTGGAGACATACAAGCAGTGTTAAATTCCCAGACCGCCGGAGTGAGTGACATCCATGCTTGGGGGTTAATGCTTCCCTCTAGCTCTAGGGTCAGCCCTGTAACATACCATGCAGTGGTTGCAGTTCGATATCCTGATCTCTGCAGACAGATCAATGGCCTGTGGGAACTGGGAAGTTTTGCCTCGGGAGGACTTCCCGACAAGCCACCAGGGTTCCAACTAGTGCTTTGGGATACTAATGCTAGGATCAACGGGTTGGTAGCGACAGACCTTGAGACTCTTGTGGCAGAGGTCCTCACCCCTTTCCCACACAACGCTGGATTTGCAGATGGACTTTTTACAATGACCACGGCAACAGATCACAAGAACAACTTGAACCGCTCCGTGCTCAAAAGGGATTATGTCCGCACCCTGCGTGTAGAAACAATAGCCAATTCAGCAGGAGGAACAGCACAAGTATCAATCGTAGCTCAGCCCAGTATAGGATTTTTGAACACCAAATATTACTCCAACGGCTCCCCTACAGAGGACACCGAAGACTGCCTCGGCAGAATCACTGTAGGACTCACCCGATCCAAATCGTTAACTTTGCTTGTCTCCCCGTTAGACATGATGGGACTCATGGGCATGGCGCAGGTGATTGCGACAATTGCATATGGCATCCGGGGCCTCCGGAGAGGAAAAACGACATGGAGTTGGCCTGACTTTAACCCTGACCCAGTTCAAGAGAATCTAGCACAGTTAAGCCGATGGTCACTCAACGCAGCACCAACCTGGGAGTTCCCTCCACTTGCAATCGCCAACCAATATTACGACCAGCAAGCCGACGAAGTGAAGCGAGCGAGATACCGCTTAATATTGGTGCGTGGATCGGACCTTCGCTGGTTAAACAGGGAGCGTCTCCAAGAAGTCCAAACAGGCTTAGCATCTCACCACAAGTGGCTCCCCGAGCAGGATCTCCCTTTTACTGAAGTTGTCCTGTATGCCTACGCGGCTGATCGCACACCCTTTCCCACCTACGTGTGCCTGCCCTCAGGAATGTACAAAGCCCGCACCGGGCAAGTAGTAGCGCAGACGGGCCCAGGAAAGGAGATCCTGTCCCTGCCTGGTATATACTTCTTTGATGGATGGAGATTACACCCTAAGTTGCCGATCCCAGACCACTTGCCACGCGCAAAAGAGGCGCCAGTTCAAGGTACCGCTCTAACTGCACCTGCACCTGGTACGGAACCCAAAAGGTCGCCTGAAGAAGAAGCGAGAGACATCCTTGCAGTGGCTGCCAAGAATCAGCCCGAAGATGGGCCAAACACAAGAAGAGCAGCCGTCCGCGCATGTAAGTACTTAAGAGCTATGGTCAACCAATATGAGTCCACCATCACCGCAGTACATCTAGCCGCCCGCACACATACACAGAAAAGCAAGGGCACGGTAGGACCAGCAGTTGACTACCGCCCGCAAGGAGAAGCCCTCCCGGTCATCTCCGCAGACCTGACCTCCGAATTACTGCATTGTTTGTCCACGCTCCCAGACCCATGGCCCCTGGCCAAGGTCACCATAGACATGGAGAAACCGAGCTAGTGGGTCTCAAAGTTGTGCAGACTCTACTTCGCTGATGAGTATGCCAAGCGAACGATTGGACTACCCTCACGTCGGCATGTCCCGGACATTGCGGGTGCACTTCGAGCAGTCCAAGCCATCCTCCCCAAACTCGAAGTCAAAATGAATTCTTAGCTGAATGGATGGTCACTCTGTTAATGCCAGCATCGCACGTATTGGAAGTGAGGGCACCTCACCTTTCCTTTATGATGCTCAAGGAATACTGGTTTAGAGAGCTGTACCTAGGTCTGAAAGTCACAGCATCCTTCGACCGTTCGAATCATACACCAGGGTAATCGATGGTCAGGTAAGATGTATCACGCCTGAGGTTAAGTATGCGGTCAACTTGTTGATAGCTCCTTATTTCTAGTGTTGGTGAGAAAACTTGTTTTCGTGTTGCTGGTTGTTCCTCTTGGTTGTGCTGCCTCCTCCTTCGCTGCAGTGGGATCACTCGAAGAATGAATCTCTTGCAAATCAACAACATGTTTTTAATGAATTTGACATCCAGCAGTTTCAGTGGTTTTCTCGCAGTCAACTTGGTACAGGATCTTCGACGGTGGTTTTTGGTCTGTGGATATCCGGACATGCTACGCAGTGTTAGGTACTTTGATCAATGGGAGAACTCAGATGGCGTTTGAAAAATACAATGTGCGACATTTCTGGCTTAGCAGGGTAGGGTGGCGGGTAGCCTCATACTTTTTTGGTTGAGGTTGCATGTCAACTTGTTTGGTTGCATGTCTGTTTTGTTTTGCATCTGAAACTTTTTGAGTAGTCATGCAGATCAGTTTCTGTTTTTCTTTTAGTTGCACTGGGTCGCGTGGTGGATGGGCGCAAGAGCCCGTGGACGCGTTGCTGCGTCGAGCCCTGTGGTGCTGTTGCCGGTGCCAGCTGCCCCAGTGAAGATTACTCTCAGAGACGGCATTTTCTTTTCCTGTGGTTTCATTTCAGCAGTGGCATTGATTTGGTGGTTGCTGTTTGGCATTTTACATGTGGATTAGCTTGGAGCGCTTCTCGGAGTGCGACCCTCAGAAGGCTTTTCTCATTCACTTTCCAGGCTGGTTTGCCATTCAGTCGGAAATTTTGTCATTGCTATCGCCGCAGGAGTCACAAAGATATTTGCAATCTTGTGTCTACTTGTTTTTGGAAACCAAAGACCTCTTGTTGACAGCAACTGCAATCCGCATCCATTATCAGGGATCAGGCTTCTCAGTGCCGACACCTCCAGTCCAACCTGCGTTGGTTCTTGCCGGTCAAGGTGGGGGTGTGTGGGACCAAGAATTGAGCAGTAGCAGCAGCATCACCGATAGGTCTAGCAGTCATGCCGTGGAGGTCCAAGACTCTGACTAAGTATGTTGTCGGTGGTTCAGATGATGCCAGTGTTGACTCTGACAATGGTTGGCAGCGTGTTGGAGTGGACCTCGACGTTGGGAGCCTTGGTAACCCAGTTGGGGCTGCAGCTTCAGATGGGGGTTTCTGGGGGCCTGACGCCACAAATGGGCATTGCAACAGTGATTTGGATGAGTCAAGTGCTGTGCATTTTGCAGGAGGGCACCTTGACAAAACTCAGGGCGCAATGGACTTAGGGGCAAGCCAAGTTCCTCGAGGACCGAAGTTGTCTCAGGAAAATTTTGAACAGTTTCTGTCCCATGCGTTTTTGAGCACAAGAGGGTCTATGAAAGTCCGCATGCCATGGGAAAAGGGTGTGTTCAAAAGCATTTTCAAGAAACCTGACAGTGGCAGACTGGAGTGGGCTGGACAGCCAAGACAGTGGGTTGAGCATTGCATGGAAGCTGCGGTGGAACCAATTGAAGAGCTGTCAGTGGCCATGTGCAGTCGGCCACAGTTGATTGGAGCTTATTTCGAGCATGCCCTTGCCTCAGGTTCTGACCAGTCTTTCTTTCAGCAACGACAGAGTCTTTTGGAGTCAGCTGTGGAGAAGTGGTTTTGCATAATCAGGGTCAACATGCTGGCATCGTCAGTAGGCCGTGACATAATTGGCCTTGGGAACATGGACATTCAGAAAAAAGGAGCTTTTCAAGTTATAGAAGCTGTCATTGGCATCAGGTCCAGAACAACTGCCATAACTCGTGCAAATGCCCTTTTGAAATTCATCAGATGGAGGGCAGAGACGTCGGAGAACGATGGCAGGGAGTTTTCCGAAATGGAGGCGTGGCAGTATTTGACAGAGCTGCGTGAGAAGAATGCAGCACCAACCAGAGGTTCCAGCTTTTTGTCGGCATGTGCATACGCAGTACATGTGTTTGGTTTTGCTGGCTTGGGGCCCATCTGTGAAAGCAGGCGACTCAAAGGTCTTGCAGAGATCATGCATGCAGAAAAAGCACCGTTGAAACAGGCTCGTGTGCTCACCGTCAATCAGGTGAGGTGGCTGCATGATAAGTTACAGGATGGTGATTGCAACACAGTGGACAGAGCAGTTGTTGCATATCTTTTGGTCGCGTTGTATGGGCGCTGTCGGCATAGTGACTTGCAGAATGTTGAGGAGGTAGCCCTGGATTTTGGGGATGATTGTGGGTATATGGAGGTGAGTACAAAAACCCACAAAACTGCCCGATCAGCATCTCAGAAGTCGAGACTTCTGCCTATAGTGATTCCAGCGGTGGGCATCACCGGTTGTGAGTGGATTTCAGCTGCAAAGTTGGCTTTCGAAAATTTTGGACTTGAGTTTGAGGGCTGTGTTGGAGGGCCCCTTTTTCGACCACCGGGGTCGGATGGGAACACCCACTGTCGGCGTGGCTTGACTTCACATGAGGTTACAAAGTTCTTGCGGCTCATGCTTGAGGATGACACCGTGAGCCCAAGTGAGCCGAGGGTGTCGTCACACTCGCTGAAAGCGACCTTGTTATCATGGGCATCCAAATCAGGAATGAGTCCAGCAGACCGCGCAATCCTGGGGCGGCACTCGAGTGCCTACTTGGAGTCAAGTGCGGTCTATGCCAGAGACCTTGCTTTTGGAGCGGTTCATAGACTTCAAGATGTGCTGAAGAAGATTCACCGTGGGGAGTTCTTGCCTGATGCTCCCAGGTCTGGGTACCACCCAGTGACGTCAGTGTCGGTGGGGCCTACAGAACCTGTGGACTGCCAGGTGGTTAAGGTCGAAGATGAGGTGACAGACCCAGAGACTGCATTGTTGGAGCCTGAGGAGGCTGTGATCGTTGATGACGAACCTTTCGAAGCATCATCTGATGGTTCAGAATCTGTGGAAGACTCAGACTCGTCAGAAGAGGTACCGAAGCCCCAAGTCAAGTGTTTTAGACACCATGCAGTTGGACCGTTAGCGGGCTTGTTTGTGATGCACCATGTGTCAAAGTTGGTCCATTACTCTGACCCTGCAGTATTGGATGGAAAGGGAGCCCGCATGATCTCATGTGGGAGATCGCTGAACCAGAACTATAAGTACACAACCCAGTTCGACTCTGTAGATATGTGCAAGCGTTGCAAGAGCAATGCAGTGAAAGACAGTGCACTTCCGAAAGCATTGGGTTAAAAGAGTGTCTCACGTGGTGAGATAGTAATGGGTTGCGTGGCACCCTGATTTTGTTGTGACAAGGGTCAATCATTTGTGAGATCTTGTTGAAATTTTTGATTTGGATTTTTCGTTATTCACATGTTCTTGTCGGCAGTGAGTGGTCGCAAGATTTGAGTCACTGTCATTCCAAATGCTTTGTCGACAAGACATCAAGGTTTGCGTGGCACCTGATGTGATGAATGATGCTTGTGGAGCGTGGCTCATGAGCACAGTGGTTCAGTTAGGCTTGTTGTAGACATTCAATGATTTTCACGATTGAAGTGTTGGACATGTCTTGGAACCCGTGCAGCTTTTCATTGTTTTAGCTTGTAGTCATGTGAAATTTTTGTCACACTGGGAATTAATTTGTAAACACGCGTTGGTTGTGCAAGTGGATTGGTGTGAGATATCTCTTTGCTTTCAGGAATCGATTGCCGCCATGGCAAGCTTGCTGGACTCTGAGGCACAGTTTATCCAGCGTACAATCGACTTGAAATTGTCGGAGGAGTTGAAACGCAGCCTTAAAAGAACTGGGTTGCAGACATTTGGCACGTTTGCATATGCTCATGGCCAACCTGGTCAGAACATTTCGGATGAAGGTTTCGAAGCTTGGGTGACTGGTCAGCTTTTGACAGGTGCGACAATAGCGGATGTTGCTGGGGCCAAACGTCTCCTCTTTGAGAGTCAAACAATGGTCCTAGCGTCCTTACAGGATCAGGTCAATGCGACGGATGCTTCTGCAATTAAGAAGGTGCCTGTGGTGGAGCGGGAAACCAAAATGAAGGCCATTAAAAGAAGACTGACAGGCCTTCTCATCGAAGGGCCGCTTGAACCTGGACATTCCCTTTTGGACACCACAGCCAGTATGATGCAACTCAATGAAATCAAATACATCCCTCCTGAAAAATGTATTTCAAGGACTCACGAAGTGTTGAATCAGAAGCCCCCAACAAAGCAGTTGGACATTTCAGCAGAGAACCTGGTCGTGAAGGAAAAACAGGATACTCCTGATATGACGGTTACTTCAGCACTCCAAGTACAAGAAGCTTTTCAGCGACGAGGCATAGCGTTGGTGTTCGCGGATTTGGTCACCCATGAGAGCTACACCAGATACCTCACCACTTTGTTTGGACATTTGCACAGGGACCCACCAACGGGTTATGCAAGGACATCAGTGAGTCAGCTTGTGTCGGCCGACAAGACGGTGTGGCAGATGTTGCTGGAGGAGGGTGTTCAACCCAAAAGGGATGAATCAGGTGAGCTAGCGTTGGATGTGAAGCTCATGGAGAGTCTCCAGAGTTATAGAGTTTCCTTTTCTTTGCTACCATTGATAGCCAAGAAAGACAGTGGACCTGGGCCGTCAAAGGTATCGAAGCCGGCAGTGACTCATGGTGGCAAGGGATCCAACTCGCATGTGCAAAAACCTTGGCTGAAACCCAAGGGTGGAAAGAAAGGAGGCAAGGGCAAGGTTAGGGTTCCCAACCACATCTTCAAGTTGGGCGGCACTTCATCCAATCCAGCAGGCGATCCAATCTGTTTTGGCTACAACAGCAGTTCAGGTTGCCCAGATGCGGCCGACGGAGCCAAGTGTCGGCGAGGTTTACATGTGTGTGCTAAGTGCTATGGGTTACATGGGATTCAAAAACATGAGTCTGATTTGTGACTCTCAGTGGAAGGACTGCAAAAGGATTCAAAGATTGGTGATGGCAAAGTTTCGAACAATTTTTCAGGTGATTCTCCGTCTTTCAGCGTTGCCCTCAATAATCCATGCATGCAGCATGTTGGGAGCAGCAAACTTAATGAACCCATGCAAGTGACAACAGTGGATGGTCTCAACTCAGCGAAGCCTGTGCAAGGGACAAATTTTGACAGCAGTTTGGATGACAATTTTGTTTCGTCAAGTGACACAGCAGAAGCGACGGATAGACCTGTAGTGCAGGTTCAGCCAAGCCCTCAGAAATCAGAAGAATTGCCAGATTTAGTAAATCATAGCCTGGGTTCGGGCCAGCCGGAAATGCAATCAGAAGCAACTGATGGTTTTGCATTTAGCGTTGAGCAGTTGACATGCCCTGTGGTGATTGGAATTTTTTGTGGCAGTGCACGGTTGACAGCCAGTCTCAAAGCAGTTGGTTTTAGGGATTCTTTTGGGGTGGACCACAAACTTGACAAAGCAGTGTCGGCGGCCAGACGCCTGGACCTTACATTGCCTACGGATCAACTTATATGCATGCAGTGGTTGAAATCTCCGTTGGTGGTGGGAGTCTTTTTAGCTCCACCATGCGGTACCTGTTCCCTTGCCAGGAACATCAAGTTGCGGGATTCACATGGCAGGGCGTTGCTCGGGCCGAGACCTCTCCGATCAGCAGCTTGGCCCGAAGGGCTACCAGGCCTTGGAACAAATGATAGAGCTAGGGTTTCTGCTGCAAATAGGCTTTATGATTTTTTGTCAAAAGTGGTAGACATGGCACACGAGTTGGGTCTTATTGTTGTAGTGGAAAATCCACGATCTTCACTGTTTTGGCTTACAAACTTTTGGAAAAGGATTCAAGCACCGATGCAGTATACAGCACATCAGGCTTGTGCATACGGAGGAGCTAGACCAAAGTGGACAGTGTTGGCGTGGAACCATCCAGCTTTCTCTTCACTATGCAGGTTCTGCCCAGGCACTTCAGACACCCATCAGCACAAGCCATGGGGGCTGGTGCACTCAGCTTCAGGCACCCACTTCTCAACAAGCGAAGAAGCAGCCTATCCATTAGGACTGACACAGGCGATAGCACGAATTTTTGCATCAATTTTGGCATCACATGGGTGGAGTCCACCCCAAGAACAACTAGGAGATGAACATGAAGTGTCACTGAAATCCATGCGCGCAGTTGCAACAGCCCAGCCAAAAGCAGCTAAGTTTCCACCTGTTGTGCGGGAGCACAAAGCAGTTGTCCGCATCACAGGGCCTTTTGAGGCATTAGCAAAGGCACCAGTGGCACCCATGCAGCGTCTCAAGACTAGCTGGCCAGTACCTGACTCTTGTCAGGCTGATGTGCCGATGCTGCCTAAGGGAGCACAGTTATTGCGTGTGACACCCCTGCGGTCAAGTGGGGGTATGTTGGATACTGGAAATTCAAGGATAGGTTTGTTTGAACAAGCTTGGGGCATCCCGTTTGAGCCAGAGGAGTTCATATTGGAGGCGGTGCAAAGAGGACACCCCAGGTTGTTTTCACGATTGGTGCCTAGTGTTTTGCAAGAAGCTATCAGCAACAATTTTTGTGAAGGCAGTTTGCATACACTTCCTAGGGACAGAAGCCTCTGGTTTGCAAAATGGACGGAGCGTGCTAAGCAATTGAGGCATGAGGATGTGGAAATCAAGAACGCGTTACCAGAGCATGCTACAAAGATTCTGGAGCCAAAAAGGTTAGCACTCTTCAAAGAAATTTTATTGGATTTGAATTACCCGGATGTTGGAGCATTTGATGAGTTGGTACAAGGTACAGAACTGGTTGGTGAGGTACAGCCTTACGGAATTTTTGAGAAAGCGTTCAAGCCAGCCGAGAAAACGATTGAACAAGTCAGTCAGGCGAGTCGCTCTGAGAGACTGCTTAATTTTTACAAGTGCTCATCTTCTGGTGATGGGGAGATCGATGAAATGGTTTATAGCAAGACGTTGGAGGAAGTGGAATTTGGTTGGGCCTCAGGGCCCCTAGAATTGGATCACCTTCCAAATGACGCTGTGGTCAGCAGAAGATTCGGGTTAAGGCAGCCAGGGAAAATTCGGTTGATAGACGACCTCAGTGCCAGTGGTGTTAATCAAACGGTACAAACAGTGGAATCTCCCAAACCGCACTCAGCGGATTTCATAGCGGCCATGCTTTTGTGCTTTTGGAGGTTTTGAAATGCAACAAAGGAATGCCATTGATGGGCAGATCCTTTGATCTGAAGTCGGCATACAAGCAACTAGCAATAGCCAAGCAGTCGTTGTCGTTTGCTTTCGTTGCAGTATATAACCCCAAGAAGGCCAAGGCAGAGGTCTTTCAGCTGCTTGCGGCACCTTTCGGAGCAACAAGAAGTGTATATTCTTTTTTAAGACTTTCCAATGCCATATGGTACATTGGTGTGAAGGCGCTTAATCTCATATGGAGCTGCTTCTTTGACGATTATGTCGTATTTGCCAGAGATGAACATGTCAACAATACAAATCAGGCTGTGTCCCTGCTTTTCAAATTACTGGGCTGGAGATTTGCAGAAGAGGGTGAGAAAGCCGAAAGTTTCGCAAGAGAATTTGGTGCCCTGGGTATTAGAATCATTTTGGATGAGTGCCCTCAAGGCTTGGTGAAGTTCACTAACACCAAGAAGCGAGCAAGCGAATTGATCGATACCATCAACACCATCTTGCAGAAGGGGAGCATGACACTGGTAGAGGCGCAGAGGCTCAGAGGTAGAATGCAGTTCATGGATGGACAGCTGTTTGGTCGTTTGGGGAAGTTGTGCATGAGGGAAGTTTCCAACCACACCTGTGAGTTTCAGAATGCCACAGTTTCAAATCGAACAGCTCAAGCTCTGCGCCGGTTTGCAGTATTTTTGGAATATGCAGAACCTCGGAAAATTCATTTGTGCACTGACAAGGTGTGGCATGTGTACACGGACGCATGTTATGAACCGACTGCAGAAAAATGGAAGTGTGGCTTAGGCGGAGTCCTTGTTGGACCTTTTGCAAACAAGGTGGCATTTTTCTCAATCTCTTTGGATGAAGATCAAATGGGAATTCTCGGTGCTGACACAAAGAAGACAATCATTTTTGAAGCTGAATTGCTAGCGATGGTGGTCGCTTTTTCAGTATGGAAGGAGGTACTATCGGCGATGTCCATGATTTGCTTCGTGGACAACAACTCAGCCAGGGATGTTGCCATCTCAGGAAACGGTCGCAATTTTACTGCAAACTTGTTGATTGATTTCCTGTTAAAGTTAGAAATGTCCAGCTGCACCACACCTTGGTACACCCGGGTCCCTACACCCTCAAATGTTGCGGATGAACCGTCAAGAGGAGAGGTAGCTGAGCTCAGGGCACAGAATGTTTCTGAAACAAAAGTTGAAGAGGCTCTGCAGGAAATCGTGATGGTGTTAGCAGAAGATGCGGTTAAGAGGGGATCGACTTGATGACACAATGCAACAGTTGGATATATTTCAGCTTGGTGCCTTTATCCTTTTTCTGGCGATTTATCAATTGCTTGAACTGGCGATGACAACCTTGGGTCGACAGATTGACGATCTGAACTTGCACAGCCCGTCGTCACTGGTGTTTAAAAAGACAGAGCGTTCGGAACTTCACAGTTTGACATGTCAGGGTTTTTGAGCTGTCACAGTGATGTCCAATTTTCGCAAGGCGTTTTTTGCAGAAACATGGCGTTTGGGTTTTGGATGTTTTTCAGTTTGGCGGCATATTGTTGCAATTGGTTTTTGTCATTAGGTTCGACCAGCAACCACCTTCACTAGAAATAAGTATGCGGTCAACTTGTTGATAGCTCCTTATTTGTAGTGTTGGTGAGAAAACTTGTTTTCGTGTTGCTGGTTGTTCCTCTTGGTTGTGCTGCCTCCTCCTTCGCTGCAGTGGGATCACTCGAAGAATGAATCTCTTGCAAATCAACAACATGTTTTTAATGAATTTGACATCCAGCAGTTTCAGTGGTTTTCTCGCAGTCAACTTGGTACAGGATCTTCGACGGTGGTTTTTGGTCTGTGGATATCCGGACATGCTACGCAGTGTTAGGTACTTTGATCAATGGGAGAACTCAGATGGCGTTTGAAAAATACAATGTGCGACATTTCTGGCTTAGCAGGGTAGGGTGGCGGGTAGCCTCATACTTTTTTGGTTGAGGTTGCCCCACCCACCCCTCCCTTGTTTGTCTCGTTTCCCACGATTTCAGCCGGAGATCAACTTGATGACGCGGGGATCGACTTGATGACACAATGCAACAGTTGGATATATTTCAGCTTGGTGCCTTTATCCTTTTTCTGGCGATTTATCAATTGCTTGAACTGGCGATGACAACCTTGGGTCGACAGATTGACGATCTGAACTTGCACAGCCCGTCGTCACTGGTGTTTAAAAAGACAGAGCGTTCGGAACTTCACAGTTTGACATGTCAGGGTTTTTGAGCTGTCACAGTGATGTCCAATTTTCGCAAGGCGTTTTTTGCAGAAACATGGCGTTTGGGTTTTGGATGTTTTTCAGTTTGGCGGCATATTGTTGCAATTGGTTTTTGTCATTAGGTTCGACCAGCAACCACCTTCACTAGAAATAAACCGCAGAATTTGCAGGTCATTTGGAATGTGCAGTTTATCACAGTTTTTGTGCCGGCATGGATGATCCCGCCCGTTTACCATAGCCTGCGCAGAGAAAGCATCAAAACCGCTAGCTCTGCAAGTCCCATTGGTGTCCAGTCGGTCCGCCCTACCTGGTTTGAAGACACAACACCCAAGGATACCGCATCCCAACCACCTCAAGACCCTCCAAAAGAACAGCCTCAGCCATTGCACGGGCTAAAATTAGTTATCAAAGAAGAGGTGTTACCGGCGAATGACCAACCAGAGTTCCCATCACTCGAACTGTTGGCTGCCAGAGGCCTTCTAGCACCCGACACGTGGAAGTGCAAACGCGCGCAAGTTAGCCTCAAAGCAACCATTGATGTCCCTATGCTGGGCACAATCATAGAGGAAAATGGCGATGGACTCCTTGAAGACTCCCACATGCCGGTGGGATGGCCATTGCACATTGATGGTGCTGTCAGACAATGTTGTATTCACCGAGCCGCTAGCCTGCAAGAATTAGACGATATGCTCAAAGAATATGACATGAAAAGGGATTCGGTTGAAATCAACCATGATGCGCCCCAATGGTCCCATCATGCAGTATGGAACCGCAAGTATATGGAACCTAAACCAGGATATACACTGGCACAACTATGGGCTGACTCCGAACCTGCCATAAGCAAGAAAACGACCACGTCATATGAAGTTCACACAAATGACGTCTTGCGTGCAGTAGCGGCCATTCAATATCTCCCATCCCCCCTGCCACCTGATAGCCCCTTCCTAAGAGCGTTAGGGACAACAGCTGCTCTCAAAGCCCCGCCGCAAACTGACACCCTAGCGCAAAGAGCCTTGGAGGAATGGGAACGCACCTTGTGTGAAAATAAGGCAGTGGCAATCCTCGCAGAGGTACAAGCCGGCCGACCAACTATAATCCACAAGGATGGTGGCGAAATGCTCATTGCCATTGTCCTTGACAGGCCACTAGCGGAAGCGAAGGCACTAGTTGATAATCCTGCAGCATTCACTCGCGAAATGACGCGGATCCTGCGCGACAAACAAACCCACCCACTCATCGCCCAAATGATGAGACCCGCGGAGAGCAGTGATCCACCCCCCGCCACTGCGACAGCCAGTAGCGCCAGTAGCAGTGGAGAACCTCGCACTACCGCACACGTGCAGTTCCAGTAAGCCAGTTGAGGTAACGTAGAGTACCTAAACTTCCCATCCATGCATTCAGCCTGTAACTCGACCTAGGTTGAGCTGCGTTGTCACCATGGGGTACTCATGGTTGATTACTGCCCGCTCAGATTACCTTTGTATGCAACATGCCGGAGCCAATATGGGACGGGAGGCGATGGAGGGCGGGTATAATAATTCTTTTCAGGGTGTTTAAGTTGTTTTGTTCGTGTTGTTCTACCTTAATTGTTGTATGGTAGTGTAGTGCGATGTCAAAGTACATCTAGCCATGGTGCCCGTCGCTGTTTGACCTGCGCTCAACCAATCTTTCAACCGGCCCAATGATCTGCACTACACCTCCTCATGCCGCTTCTCGACCATGGTTGCAACACGCTTAGTGTCAGCTGCATGCTCTGAGGATTTAGGTCTACACATCAACCTGTGGACGACTTAGACCTTTGGAATGGAGCGACCAACTCCCACCAAAGACGCCGCTGTCCATCGACTTGCAAAGTCCATCACTCAAATGACCCTCTGCCAGGTCACTACCAGTGAAGTCGATGATGCCACCAAACTTCTGGAGAAAGCCCGACAGAAGCTCCAAGGCATCCAAAACATCCCACCCCAGAGGGTCAGTGACATTGAGGCGACTATACGCCAACTCCGTCAGATTGGCTGTATCCTGGACAGTTGTACTATATCTGCCAGTTACGAAGTAACCCAGGCACAGAAAGCCATACTGCAGCTACACCATACAGCCAGGGGAGCCAGCACATCATCAGAAGAACTCAATGCACAGATATCACCACGCACAGATGATGAGTACAATCTCCCATACCATGAAGACGCATTGCAAGAGCACTAGCACAGTGGTGCCCCTCCCAAACTTTGATGCAGCATGATGATTGGAAAAGCAGTTCTGAGCGGACTCTGAGGGTGCCCTGAGTGCTGTAGCCGCGCCGTCTTTTTCACCGTAGATCATGTTTCACTCTTCTGTTTCACTGCGGTAGTTTTCTCACCACTTTGTTGCGACCCGGCGTTGTCGGTGTTTGTTTCAAAGTGTCAGGGTGACTGTTATGCCATGAAGGCTGCCCTCTGTGATCTCGGGGATCCTGGCTGGGGGGATCCCTGGTTTCCGCATTGGGCTTTGTTGCTTCGCGCACCCTTGAATGGCCCATGGTGATTTTGTGGTTCTTTTGGTTGCTTTTGTTAAAGGGCCTGCGTCAGCATGACACATAAGTTGTCATCTGCATGCGCCGAGTTGATACTAAGCTATCACCTCTTGTCTCAACAGATCTTTTTCACCTAACTGGTACCCGTCACGTCACAGCTTTGGGGTTGTGTGGTTTTCTGTTTTTTGTGTGGGTTGTTTGTGTTTGTGTTTGTGTTTTGTGTTGTGTTGTTTTGCTTCTGGTTCTTTGTGTTTCGGTTTTTGTTCTTTGATGACGTGACAAGGGAATAGGACTATGTATCGGTCCTCTACCAGTTTTGCGGCCACTACAGCTTCGGCCATTGCGTGAATTAATTAATTAATCTAATATGCAACATGCTTGGAAACATGTTGAACGACCTGGCGGAAGCCATACGGCGTTGGACGGAAAAAAAGAGGAATCATCCATGCCGGCACAAAAACAGTAATAAACTGTACATTCCAGATGACCTGCAGGTTCTGTGGCTTTATTTCCGGCGTGATGCATCTCACTTGACCATCTATGACTCGTGTACAGTATTCTTTTAGCAACATAAAGGAAAGATGAGGTGCCCTCACTTCCAATACGTGCGTTGCTGGTATCAAGACGGTGACTAACCATTCGGCCAGGAATTCGATCATCCTTCTTCAAGCTTTGGTAGGATTATGAGGCTTACGCCTGACAGCCGGGCGCCGGCCAAGCTTGTGGTGGCTGTGGTTGTGGTGGTGGTGGTGGTTGTTGTGGTTGTCGTCGTCGTCGTTGTCGTCGGGCCCATGCTGAGCCATCTTGCGCCCAGCGTAGGCTTATGTCATGCCATGTCAAGCCATCATGAGCCCATCGTGGGCTTAGGTTGTGCCAAGTCGGGCCATGTTGAGCCATCTTGGGCCCATGTTGGGCCCATGTTGGGCTAGGTTGGGCCCATCTTGGGCCCAGCTTGGGTCTTTGTTTGGCCCACGTTGGCCCTATGTTGGGCCATCTTGGGCCTATGTTGGCCTATGTTGGCCGAGGTTGCGCCTATGTTGGGCCTATGTTGGCCTCTGTTGGGCCTAGGTTTGCCTATGTTGGCCCTATGTTGGGCCAGCTTGGAGGCTATGTTGGGCATAGCTGGAGGATAGGTGGGCGATCTTGGGCCTATGTTGGTCAGATGTTGGGCCGTTTATGTTGAAAACATCTTCAGAGACAACTTTTTACGATTTTTTCCGCCCCTCAAAGCAAAAACTATGGAAAAACCCACAGTTTGTAACATCGCCAAGGTGCAATTCTGCGCCGCCGAGGGGCCCGAAACCCTGTAAAAAACGATGTTTTTGAACACCAGGAGCAAAATACACTGTAAATTACAAGTATAATCGTGGACCGGGGGTGAACACGAATTGACACGAGGTGGTCGGCGGCAGGGGCGGCCAGCGTATATAACCTTCGGTTACCACCGAAGGCCTCCGGCAATGCCACGGGCGCGGGGCCGGCGCCCGGATTTCCTGG